GAGCAGCTGAGTCATTCTCAATGTCTGCCCAATTTGCATTCATCTGCAGATGATTTGATTAACAAGCAGCATCTGAGAGTGCAGCTGACCGTTGGAAAGCCAGGTTTGAGTCAACAGTTTCAGTCCATCAGAGTAAAATCGGGCTATATTGGTGGCCATTCTAAGATTCTGCACTTGTTTGTAGTTGATTATTTCTCGTGTTGAAAAATGTTAGGATTTTTTAGGAATAGAAACGGGGAAATGTGTGTGAAGCCCAGATTTTGAGCAAAAGTTTTCAACCGGAATTTTCCACGTTAGATACAGCAGCTTATAAAAGCGGTGAAAAAACCTAAACATTAAAAATTTTTGCAACACTGGCGAACGTTTTCTGGAGAACGATCCAATGTAGCGAACGATAACAGGCAGGATTGTTTACACGTAAGCTTTAGCATTGTGCTACAGTGTGGTAGATGGATCTCAGGTTTATTTGATCTTTATGCGACGCGACGAGTTCAGATCGAGCTTTGCAGGGATGAAATTCTCAATTTCCTGCAGACTAATAAGTCGAAACTACACATTGTTTCAAAACAGTCTATTTAACAATAATTTTTTAGGTGTGATTTTTAATGGAGGTTCCTAAATTTCATATGCATATGGATTCGTCAGCTTGTTTTATGATTAAAAATTCATATAAATATAATGAAAACCGTATATAATATAGACTTTCACAACTTTTCCGACTGTTTTCAAAAGATGCACGTTTCTTTAGCGAGCTTTAGACAGAAAATTGTTTTTCTTTTTCTTGTGAAAAACCGCTACAGATGGGAGAAAATGTAACAGACAAAAAGTTTCGAAACAAAACCAAAAATTGCAACTTTTCAATAACACCAGACACCCTTGGTGGCTCTGATCTGAAAATGTAATTATTTTTCGAAAGCAAATGTTGATGCTTTATATAATCCTACAGAGGTGGACCGCAAAACAGTTCAGCTAAAAACAGCTCTTGGTTATCAGGCAAAAAATCATCTGGTTAATGATTGAAATTTGGGGTAATTATGCTAAAAATTGCAACAGTTTTGGCAGAGAAATCAGCAAAAAAATACTTTATTCCTTTTGTAATATATTTACGAAAACTTGTACAGTTTGGGGATGTATTTCAAGCTACATCTCTTCAGTCTTTCTCAGTCTTTAAAAGTCTGTAATTTCTTCACTGATCAAGTTTTTTGACTAGTTTAAAGCAGAGGAAAGGGAAATATAATAAATGTATAAAATTTTGTGAAATATTGGGAAGAGTCTGTAATTCTTCAAAAGTCTTTCCAGCGAAACTAGAGGTCTCGAAAAACTCCGAAATAAAAGTCTTAGGATTAAAGTCCAAATATGAGACTTTATAAGACTATTTTCAAGTGATTCCATGAACAAAGGATGGTTATTCTAGATGGGTATTTACATAGAGTGTATTAACCGGGGTTAAAAAATCGTTGATGTAAAAAGTTGCATACATAATGCAAATAGCCGAACATCATCTGCACAATAAATTCAAATTGTATTTTATTAGCTGGTATTCTGAGAGAGCGCTCCCAGTGCAAATTGAAAATGATTGCGTGAGCATATCATATAAAAAGTCATAAAGACTTGTCTGAGAAGAGATGGAGGAAGCTTTCGCGGTATAATTTGATTTTATATATTTGTTATTTCTCCAGGAATGTTTTTATGGCGCTGTAATTTATCACTTCGTTTATTACGGTGTTTGGCAAAAGACCATTTGCCGTGGTTGTTTACGATGGGGGTTTACAACCATTCTGGACGATGCATTAATGTAAGGTTTACTTTGTTGCATTGCTAGCGTCGCAGCCTCAAGCGGCATCTAAACTAGACTGATTTGAAATGTTGCTTTATTCATATCGATTTGTTGGGGGGCGCGGGTGCATTAAAGCTTATTCCATTAACATTAGAGGATAAATTCCGATTTAAGTCATCAAGCCCGAATGCACCCCCCAGTTGTAATAAAAGTCTTTCTTAATTTCGATTTCTTTCTCCATTTACCTCGCAGCGAGCATAAAATAATACGTAATGTAATAGAAAGCCATCGCTTAATTTTTTAATGGCCAAATGCTTTTAGAGACGTCCTGACTGACGATGAATATTTTAAGCCGCGTGCTAAGACCGGGAAAACAACATTAAGACCCCGACCATGGGCGAGAAGGGCTGGGGGGTGAGAGCTTTCCGGGGGGATATATAGCTACAATTTCGCTTGGGATATTACCAGGCGAGGAGCCTCAGGTGTGGACGCTGTAGGAATATGATTTTAGCGAATTAGGAGAAGAAAAAATAAAGGAGAATGTCAGCACCGGTGGGACGAGGGTGCGGTTTATGTACGAGTACTTTCAGTGGTAGTAAATAACTGATGATTTCACGGTTACACACTTCCAAATGCATTGTTTCTGGCGCATTTTCATAGGTTTGCACGATGGATTACTACTTCGAAATCTGGTTCTTTCACTCACAAAGACTAGTAAGTTTCACACGAAGGACGAAGTCTTCATTCACTCATTCCTATTTTATATTATCATGAAAATTACCGTGTAACGCTGTTTTGCAACAGTTTTTCAAAAACAGGTCTTCCAATCAGGCGACTTCACCCCTCTGAATGCAGAAAATGCAACGCGAAACAACTATATGAAAAATATCAATTCCAGTCCATCCAAAGAGCGTAAAATCTCCTCTCCATCAGATATTAAGCCTATTTCGCTCCCGATCCCGAAAAGTACAGGCCCTAATTCCAGGCAAGGACCCATCACGGCATTTGCAGGGCTCATCAAAGCTTTCATTTACAAACGTAAAACGTTTAAAACAAGAAACGGGGACTCCTGCGGAGTTCCATTAGCGGGCCCCCCAAATCCCTCAGATTCCCGTTTATGCGATATATATTATCAATGTTCTAATTAAAACAGATGTACATTTAGCGAAAGGGACTTAAATTTGGACGTCCACGGATTATGCTACTGTTTTATCGGTTTCATTTTTTTAATCAAATTGGAACAATGCGTTTTTGCTTATTTTTTTGTGGTTTTATATTGGTGTAAATTGCTTATTAATTAATTTTGATTAATTTTTCTGACTGCGTGTAATTGTTATTATATTTTTTCTTTCCCGGGTTTCAGTCAAAATGTTAAATACAAATTTTCATATAACGTTTCGGCGAGACAACACAAAAGACCTCCAGGAGGTTTCAAGACAGCCAAGACCTAAAAGAATCTAATGTTTCCCAATTATGGGTGTGTGTTAAATTTTAAATCTGATGATGGCGCTGTTGTCTCGCTGAAACGTCATTTGAAATAAACGATATGAAAATTTTTATTTCACATTTTGACGGAAACTCAGGACAGAAAAAACATAATTATTAATTAATGTATTTCCCACAGCTTTAAATCGTTTTTAGCACGTCAGATAACTTCTCATGTTTTTTTACAAACTTCTTTTTGGGTATTTCGCCTCAAAAATGTTCGTCGTTAAAAAAGACAGAATTTCCTCACGTCTTTTTTTACAGATTGATAAATAGTGCTCCTATTTCGCAATAAGAACGAATTATTTATCAAAAAGTAATCAAGAACTATCA